TCAGCTGCGTTAGTGACCCCCACACTGGGTGGGAACACCTGCATCTGCACCCAGGAAATCAAGGACCGAGGCTGAGCCCATGGGGATGGCACTCACCCTCTCTCTGCCTGAGCCCAAACTGGCTCCAAAAAGCAAATGTCAAAATCTTGAGCCCTCGTGGGTCCAAGCCAGGACAGGCAGGTAGGCTGGGGGTGCTTTTTTTTTTTTGGCACAAGCCATTAAATAATCCTCCAGCACAGAGAGAAAAATCTGCCATGGGGCTGCACCAGCCCAGGGGAGGCAGGTGACCCTATTTTTTACCAAAACACTGATTCCAAATGAATGGGACCTCTCCCGGTGCCAAATCCTGCCCCTCCACAAGGGGTTTATACTGGCAGCCTCAGCACAAGTGCCCTCACACCACATATCATTTGTCATCTTTTCATCAAATGTGTGTAAATCCTTTCCCTGAAGCGCAGCGCTGTTTTCCAGCCAGGCTGTAAAATCCTGCACGGTCTCTGTTCCAACAGAATTATGTTAGTGCCAATAATCTAGCAAATATCAGGAGTGAATTTAATCAAAAGAACTAAGACCAGGGCTCTGATTTACGTCAGCCCGTGATGGAGCGGAGCGGACGGAGGTTTGCAGGACCCAGATGTGGAATTTCACTTGCAACATCATTTGGAACAGAGGGAAACCAGGAGGACTGGGGAGCAGGGCTTCAGCGTTTTGGAAGCTCTTCATGCTCTCACAAAAATCAGTGAGAAAGGAAGAACAATTCACCCTTATTCTCAGTTTTAAAAGATCAGCATGCAAAATTTCTTACGTCTGTGTTTCTGTTGTTTCTCGGGACAGCCCACACACCTACGGGGTGTGCGCAGGACCCCGGGCTGTGATGTGTCTGCCAGAGCAAAGGGCATCCTGCTCCAGTGCCCACTGGGATGAGCCCATCCATCCCCCATGGCAGAGGACCACTGCTACCATCGGCCTCCTCCAGCCTCTGAATCCCTATCTGGGGCCATGCAGGGATCAGTTGTGGGGTTTGACACAAAACCTCAAAACTCTGAGGAAGTTCAAGCCCTCGCTTGAGTAACCAGTGTCCCTGGGTTTGCCTGACCACCCACCCGCAGCAGGCACAGCCCTCCGTCAGCTCCCAGCTCCAGCCTGGCAGGCTCTGGCACGCACCCAGCATTGCCACTTCATGCAATAGCCCTGCTCCATCTGTCATCAATTCCTTTGCATGTGGTTTGTGGACTTCATGCCATGCTCTGCCTGTTGCGTGGCTCCGCAACGGGGCAGCTCTGATCACTGACAACTTTTTGTGCTTTTATCATTTTTTCAAGAAAATAACTGGAAGCAAATGCACAGGCAAGGAACATGGCATGGCTGCATCCCTCTTCACCACCATCACAGAATCATGAAGGTTGGAAAAGACCTCTCAGATCATCAAGTCCAACCATAACCAATCAGAGTGAAAGTCATCACAGAATCCCAGAATTGCCCAGATTGGAAAAGACCTTCAAGATCACAGAGTCCGATCATTAACCCAACAACACTGACACATCCCTGACTAAACCATGTCCCTGAGCAGTAAAAAAAGCGCCTCATCCTTAAAGCCCAACTTCTTATGCCTTCACCTGTGCTGCTAAGACAATTTCAGGTAATTAAAAAAATATTTTAATTAAAAATTACTGTAGGTTTGGCTGTTAGAAAACCAACCAACCCTCTGCCTGGGGAGGAGAGCACTGCCCAGCTCTACTTTCTGCTCACCTTTAGCTACCTGAGCCTCACACCATGCCCTGCAACATGTGCAAAGTTGGCGGCATTTTCTTTTTCTCCAAATTAAAAAAAGTAGACATCATGCAAACATTTCTGCAATGTCATATTTTTGCATAAATACTAAAACTAAATATTTTAAAATTATGCAGCTCATGCATGTAGAATTTTCTGACGTTAGCTGCATTGTGAATTGAGGTACAAAATGTAGTACACAGGATGGAGTAAGAGATGAGAAACACAAGCAAGAGGAAAGGCAGTTAGGCTAAATCAATGACATTGAATTAATAAAAAAAGTCTTCAGCAGCTCCTTCATGGAACATTTGCTGCAAGTTCGCCTGAGCTCACACAGGTTTGCCAGGGTGGTTAAGCGTGCTGCGTTCTCTCTGTCAGCTCACAGGGCAGCGAGCAGTGCTCTCTTATAGGCATTTGTTTAAACGTGTTACATGTAGGACATGAACGGAGCAATGCGATGGTTGAAAGAATCAAGTCTTACAGAGAAAACACAATCTGCTGGGTGAGATGAGGTGTCAGGAAGTTGTGAGGGAGATGGCAGATGCTGCAGGATGGTTAATTCCTTAATTCTAAAAGCATTTGGTCGAGTGAGACTCTGGGAGAGCTGTGCCCATCAGCAGACGGCTTGGTGAGATGACAAATTAATATTGTTATCAATGAAGAAATGGCTGAAGTCATTAGATGGTGGGGCTGGTTTTTTAAAAAATGTGTGTTTTCAACAATTATTTCAGAACAGTCTTTGAATCAAGGAATAAAAATAGAGGGAAAGTAAAATCCCCTGTGTCATAAACAGAGCTCAGGAAAAGGAGTTTTCAAAGGAATGCCTTTGCTGTAGGAAGCTTAATTTCACCCGCTTTTGTATAGGACGATGGATTACTCCAACAATAAACCATTCCAACTACTGTGAAATTGTGCTAATAGCCTGCGAGTCGGGGAGCTGTTCATGCACCAGCATATTTATTACATACCTTTGTATCTGCTAGCTCCAACAGCCACATTTGTGTTAGAAACTGTGGGGGGCTGGAGAAGTTTTTAAACTTGGCGATCTCAAATTTCAAGAGCAGGAACGGTTCGAGAAGGCAGGGGGATGAGAAAAGGACAATTGCAAAGAGCATTTAATAGAGTGAATGACCCAGCCTGGAAAAGGCTGGGAAAATTCAGCCTTAAAACATTGTGGAGTACCTCACGAAGGCCAGCACGCATCTTCCCGGGTGCTCACTTGGGGAAACTGAGGCACAGCATCGCTCTGAGGTTTCCCACCCACAGGTACCACCCAGCCATGTGTTTTGGGGAAGACTGCTGTGCTATCAGCCATGGAGAGCTAAGCAAGCGTGAGGGACCAGGGGTCAGCAAGGACAAATGGGCAGGAGAGGGGGAGCAGGCTGCCTGGCTGTGAGGGAGGAGAGCTGGGGAAAGCAGGAGCGAGGGAGCACTGGGAAACGCTGAGGGTTAATGTGGACATCACTGCCAACACAGGGCAGGAACTGCCTTGTCCCACAATGGAAAAGCTGGGGATGGAGAAGGGATGGGATCCACCCTATCCTCCAGCCGAGCATCCCCTCCCTGCCCCGTGCTCCCTGCACAGATCCCAGAGGACTGGGCTCCCTACGGACACACAGTGATGCCGTGGCTGGGAAAGAGCAGTTCCTCTCCCCCAAATCCCACCATGTCTCCAGGAGCTCCTGTGCTCCAGAGCCCTGGGAAGGAGTGAACTTTGCTTGGGGAGGGGTGGGAATTCCTCCCACCACTCCAGCTCCCAAAACCCCTTTCTGGGGAGCAGGAAGGTGAATGAGAATTGGGCTCTGGACATCAGCAGATGCCTCTGCAAGCACGCAGCTGCCCAGGGGTGACGGGTGCCCACCTGCATCACTGCTCAGCCCCGTTCCAGGAGAGCCCACTCCTTCTCCCTTTGTTTGCCTCAACCCAACGCACTGTTACTTGGGCTGCGACCCAGCCGAGAAAGCAGAAATATGAACTTTATTACGACACAGACCCGCTTGGGACCGGGGAGAAAGACGCAGCCACACGCTGGCAGCTCGCTGCTGCAGCTGGGGTCCGGCCGGGATGCTGGATGTTGGGTCTGGTGTGGAAGTGTCTCAGCCCCCCTGTACTCCTGCCTTCTAGCTCCTCGGACCCCAAAAGAGCAGCTCCTCTCCCCCCACAGCCACGGGCTGGATTCACAGCCCACCAGCCCGCGCTTCAGCTGAAGCTGGAGCTTGTTAGCAGCCTCAGCACAGGGTGGGTCGAAAATGTCTTGTGGAAATAGTTTTTACAAGGTGAAAAGAAGGGGAGTAGGGCCATCTAAAGAAGCTTTTTCTGCTTAGGCAAAGAGTGTCTGTTTTCAGTGGAAAAAAAAACCCAAAAAAACCCCAAACCAACAAATCCATGAAGAAGTGTTTTCATTAAAAAGTTGAAAACGCTGAAGACCCAAAGCTTTCCAGCCAAAAATACTCAACTCGGGCCATAAAGCTTTCTGTTTCTTGTTGAAACAAGTCTTTAGAGAGAAAAGAGCTGAAGATCTCTGCGCAAAACCCCAGCATCTTCTAATCTGGCTTTTGAATGTTTGCTTGATTCTTCTAGCTGTGTCTCAGCTTCAGGATTTAGATCTCTTCCAGCAGGCAGCTGAGAGTTAAGTTCATTTGCAGGATTTGCTCTTATTGCTGCTCTTGCCCCAGCTGAAGCCCTGCTGACCTTCACATCCACCACAGAAGAAGGGGAAACCTCAAAAAACTCTGTTTGTGGAGCTCAAAGTAAAATTCTTTCTCATTTTACTGTTCTTGCCTCTTCTCAAGGAGTGAAATGTTTAGTGCATGGGTTAAGTGCTGCCTGTGCCCCTGGCAGCGCTGGGGTGAGGGTGGGAGCAGAAGACAGCCGTTTGGAGGAGGCTGATTTACAGACGCTACATCTGACCCCATCCCGAGTTAGCTGTGGCTGTCGGAGCAGATGAAGCACTATTTGTAAGTGATAAAACCTGAAATAATGTAAAGTCATCCTCAGAAGTGAGTACTTTCTGTATTTTGGTGGCCTTGTCCTCCCCAGGAAGCTGGGGGAGACCAGGGAGAGGTGATGACAGGGAATGTGGGGACAAGAAAAGTCATTTCAAGGACTTGGTTTAGGAGAGGGAGGAGCAGGAGTTGGCAAAAGCAAGAGCTGTGGAAACAAGAGTGGCAGGAAGGGGTTGGAGGAGAAGGAGCTGTTTGGTCCCCGCCATCCCACCCCCGCCCCGGTACCTTTGCAGGCCTTGCGGTGGGAGATGGGCTTGCTGAGGTCCCGGTAGAAGCCCTCCTTGCAGTAGTGGCAGTGCCGCCCAGCAGTGTTGTGCCGGCAGTTCAGGCAGACGCCACCGCTCTTGCGCCCTGACAGCTTGTAGAGCTCCATGTTGAAGCGGCAGCGCCGGGCGTGGAGGTTGCAGTTGCAGGCTGCGAGAGGCAAAGAGCAAAGACCGTGAGCATCTGTGCCTGGCCATGGAGATGCCAACCCCTGGGGAATCCATGTGCAGGGGGCTGGGCACTCTCGAGGTCCTGTCTGGGTGCCCCACCACAACAGAGCTGTGACAGGATGGGATGCTCCGGTGGCACCTCTGGCTATGGGAAGCCAACTCTAATCCACATCCTTCCTTAACCAGTGATATGTGGCGAATCCAGCTTTTTGGAGGGGAAGTTGAAGTCACTGAAACCTTGTTTCACCACAATGACTTGCAACAAATATGCCTTTTTCCTGTCCCCATTCCTGATATGAATGAAAAGCTGGGTGTAGGCAGGGCTGCCAGGGCAGGGAGCCCATCCCTGGTTAGGAAACAGCCACACACAACCCCCCCGGCTGTTCCTCCAGCTTTGTCACAAGTGCTTTGCCCCGTGCAAGCACTTCTCATCTCCCTTCTCATCTGCCCTCTCACTGTGGAGCTTCATGTCATGCTACTTCTCGGTTCAAAGCCCCCCAAACTGCTGTGAAACCCCCCACTTCCCAACACCCTGGAGCACCCTCTGTCTGCTCCAGGGGGGAAGGGGTTTTCCAACATCATCTGCCTGACATTCCCAGTATTTCCACTCTCACCAAACCCAACACACATGTGTGTTTGAGCTCCAAACATCATTTCAAGACCTTCCTAGCTAGGTTCTTCCCCAACTTTCCTTCCCATGTTTGGTCCCCATAGCATGAGGCTGTGTTATACGTCTGCAGCTCTGAACATGCCGATAAAAACCTCACCCCTGCCTCTGCGTCTCTCATCCCGCTGCTGGGACAGGCCTGATGCCCCGTTAGTCAAACACCAAAAAGTCCCTTTCTGCTTTGATTGCACGTGCTGTGACTGAACCTGCCGGGAAATGTCCAATTTCTCCACCATATGCAGCCTAATGTCAACACAGGGGCTATTTTAACAGAGGGCCTTTGCAAAGGACAACTTCAGGACTTCAAAAGCTCGACCCCTCGCCTGCCTCTCCCCAGAGCTGTCACGGGAACATCAAGAGGCAGTTGCTGGGGCACTGTGCTTTGCTGAGAATTTTATAGCTTGTTTTCTTTTCCCTTTGCTTTTATTTGCTCTTCACCCCTGAACAATGCATCTGTGCAATGCCAACCCACAGCTGGGCCTCTCGGTTCTGCACGAAGGTGTCACGGCTCTGGGTTTGTCACCTTCCTTTAGAGCAGAGACATCTTAATCCCTCATTCCTTCCTGTTTACCTTATGGTGCTTGCCCAAGACAAAGACACGCTATATTTGCTTAATTATCAAATTTCAGCACAGAAAATTACAGTGCAGTTCCGGATTATTTATCAGGAACAATCCCCAGCTAACTCAAGACGTGAAAGCAGAGGGGAGAGCAAAATCCTCCAGACATGTCTGACCAGCGGGATGGAGATTGCTCTCTCCGTGTTTTGCCATTTGAATTCCTCTGGCTGACGTGGTGAGGCCCAACCTCACGTCCCCACCAAACGCTGGCAAAGCAGGAGAAGCAGCCACCACTGCGCTAATGGTGAGAAGAGCGGCCCGAGAGCGGTTTGCCAGCCGTGAGAGAGTGAGATTCCTGACACCGAGCGGGACCACGACTTTGAACTGCAGTTTGCCTTTCCCTAGGTGAGCCCACCAGCCTGTGGCTGCGTTTGTCATCTCCCAAAAGAGGAGATGACCATCGAGGAGACCAGAGACACAGCTCGCGCATGCAGGGGGAACTGCTGCTTTTTAGACCTGGCCGGTCCCACAGACACATCTGCGGACGCTGCACACGCACTGAAACAGCCTGTTTGCATCTGAAAGAGGCACGGGAGCACTGCACCGGGCACTCGCTGCCTCCCTCCTTGGAGGTTTTTTCCCTTCCATCTTAATCTCAGGAGAGCACTTTGTGCTTTGCTAGGAGCACACCAACAGCTGCTCAGCTGTGGTCTTCTCCTCTGCTCATGGCACGACGGCTCTGCCGCAGTCAGCGCTGGACAAATAGGGGATCAGAGGTGATTCTTGCCCTGCAGAACGTGTGAGCTAAGCTCTTGGTAAGGAGGTCGTGTTTTTAAAGTCCCAATCCTTGTTTTACAGACAGGTAACCAAGATATTGAGATTAAACCCTTTTCCTGAGTGTGCAGGAGGCACAGGGCTGAGGGCTGGTTCCTCTGCTCAGGACAGAGCCTTCCCCAAGGTATGACCTGCTGAGAGGTGCACCAGGGCTGCAGCACAAAGGATGTCCTCTTGGCTATAGCTAACCACCAAGGTGACCCCTGTATCAACAGCACGACCTCAAGACTTGACTCAAGCAGAGGAAAAAAAGATTTAAGTCCCTCGGTCTGAGGGTCTGTCAACCCTGTTGAAGCCTGTGACCATGCAGGCACATCTCCATTGCTCAAAGCCTTGAGACTCACTAGCAGCTCTGCCTTTGGTGCTACAAACCACAGGATTTAGTCCCCCTTGACCAACACGAGGAGACATTTCTCTAGGGGATGGCATGGTCTCA